AAAAAGCTCAGAATGTATAAAAGAAGTATCAAACTAATGTTTATTACCCAAACAAATGACTTTGGAAGTGTTATTTGGAAAATAGAGCAGCATATTTGTCAAAGCAAAAAAGTGACAAATTTTACCCCACCCCTCCCCCCCAAATATTCGATGTTGAAACATTTTGATGTAATTCAAAAACTAGTCCCAAGCAAAGACCATTTTAACAACAAAAAGCACTATAAGTGTAAAAACGCGATCTTAAAACAAAAAACCCACCATTTTTTAAATTTTCCAAAACCTATGTGTCAGAAACTGGTTGCCATGGCAACATGATTAATCACAAGGACATGGTAATTATACCAAAATGTTCCTAGATAAATTTTAGGAAAAGTCAGAAAATTTGAACGTCATAGCTCTTTCGGTGTAGGAGTTACCACGATTTTGCCGGAGGGGGGGTTCGAAAAGCCCTCCCCCCCCCCCAGTCTGAATAGGGTTAAAAATAACGGAGAAAATTATCCTAAGAAATTTTTCTGAACAAAAGGAAAAGAAACCCGGGTTAAGCGCTGATCGGGCTCCGAATAACTGCACCCTGTAGAACATCTATTGCACCAGTAAAATAAAAAGTTCTTTTTACACTCCCGGCGCACTCTGGCCAGTTTCTCCTCAATTAACAAGCATTTGAGACGAACCATATGATACCACGCTGAACACTAACCTTCAAAACCTTTTCATAATGATACACAGTTTAATAGAGGTTTCGCTGTACGCAATCCTTACGATCAAAGTATGCCATAATCATAGTTATCAATCCCAAGAACCATCCACCCTTCCCCCTCAAATGCTACCTGTACGCCTAGCAAACATATCGAACGCACTCTCCTAAGCTCCGATTACCCCTAGTTATGAAAGATAACTGTTGTACGATGGCTTGTTGTCAGTCCTGGGAGTCAATTTTATGACGTGTTTGTTTTGACATGTTATGCGGTTTCCATAGGACAACATGAGGCTTGGCATGAATTGCAAACCATCACGTAAATGGAAAAACTCGCAGTTCTCGCCTGCCTTCACGAAAACTAAACTATTCGTATACTTTGATAAGTTATTTTCAGTCGGAATTTCGAAAATTCATCCATGAAAAGTACGTACCCAATTTTGGAAAAAAACATATTCCTTAAGGGTAACCGAAAGATGATACGTACATATAATTTTAGAGACCTTAAGATTCGAAGACGACTTCGTGGTCGAGATTTAACTTGAAGGGTTTTCTCACGGAAGCTCCATTGTACTCTTTTTCACCAGAAAGGTTAGCACGGTTATTTTATTGAGGAAGGTTAAGTCATCCCGATCACAAAAAGCTAAAACTTCTAGTACCGCAGTATTTGATGACTTGCTAATCTGCCACTACAACATTTTTGCTTAAACTCGTATGTAGTAGAATGGCAAAGGCTATCACGCCAAAATGACGTTGGTTCAAGCACAAGCAGTACACAATAAATACTGAGAAATCTCATCCCTATCGGTCATCTTCGTCTTAGATTCTAAAGGTCTCTAACAGCTCACATAGTTGATGCCATATATATTAAGTTGACTAGATTTAAAGACATTCAATGAATACCCTAAAGACAGAAGCTGACTTACCGTTTTGAAAATGTGATCTATCGCAATGTTAATAACCACCAATGGATGTTTTACTTGATTCAGGATCAAGAGTAGCCTGCGTTAACCAGTGAACAGGCTCTCTGTTTGGGAAAGGGTGAAAAATCGCGAGGAGAGGGAAGGGAAAGGGGGAGAGTATATTCGATATTCTGCCCTCTTGTCTTGCAATTGCCAATCATTTGTCAGCAAGATCGTTATCTGTCACTTGGATACATTGGATACATTGGAATGTAATCAATTTCGCGTGTAAATTTTTCAGGTTGCAGAAGTAAAGTCAGTCTGCAATCTGCCGTATGGCATCGTTTCAGCTCGCACGTGTTATCGGAAATGATTGTTTTCTTTCTCCGCTTGGGCTACCTGTGCTGAGACTTCGCTAGTTTGTTTCGAGTATTCGGATACGTCAGCCTAAACTAGCTAAGTGTGGCCATTCGAATGAAAGCCACTTAGCGAACAAATGGCTCATTTATTTAGCTTCAATTAAAGTCGCTCATTGTTGTATTTACCACACAAGTTACCATTTGACCGAATCAGAGAAGCTAGAGGCTTGTTTTTGCAGTGAATTGACGACCAGACATGAACGTCCTTGGCTTTCAACGGCGCTTTTTTGGAAAATCTAGCGCCCTTCCAGCAGTCAGCGGCGTTTTGAAAGGTGGACAAATGAACTAAGGTTATAACCAGTGTACCCGTTGCCACTACTTCTAAGGTGTGCATGTTGTCCGAGGATAGGGTAAAACTCCTGATGCAGAACTATTGATTAGCAATGGCAAGCTCTGTTAGTACGTCGTTGGGAGAAAACTCTACAGAGATTCCGCTATGAGGAGTACTGAAGAAACTGACGGACGCTAACGACTTTACAAACACCCTCTATCCTTATATAACCCCATGGAAGACGAAAAATATGGCAACACGTCAATTCCGTTCGTGGAAAACTCGTATAAAATGATCCCTGAAGCGACGTTCAATTCCGAACAAGCTCGACGACTTGCCGAAGATATTTTGCATTGTAACTTCAAAGGCGGAAAAATGCAAAAAGCTTGTGGTAAAAGCCACAGAGGAGTTAAAAAACTGCGTTAAGCCGGGTGTGGGATGTAACAGATACAAGTTCCTGTGCGTGGTATATTTAGGCTTGTTACAGAGTCAGGGAATGACGATTACAAGCCGCTATTTGTTGGATGAAAGATTCGACAGGTATTCTACCGCCTGTAATCGGAATCTGTCGTTGTATGTTGTGGCCTCGATGTATGGCGTGTTTTATGAGTAGTTTTAAGTTGGCGCTTTACTGGACAGTTAGAGGCCAGAATGTTCGGTTTTAGGATAATCTGTTTAATTCTGGAATAGGGCTTATCTTTGTTTTTTTCCAAATCAATGGAATATAGTATTTCCTTGTGCAGTTATTTATTATTTAGATTATTGGGCCAGCAATTATTTCACCAACCATTTTCAAAAATTTGACAGGAATTTGATCAGGGCTAGTGGAGGAGTCACTTCGCAGAGATGTTAATACTTGTACTACTCGGCCAGGGGAGACTGTCCTTAGCTTAAAGAGCGGCTGGCCTTCTGGCTCAGGAAAGTTGTCGATGAGCTGCAGAATCGAGGAGATAGGGTCTGCGTGAGATTTGAGGGTCCGTTCTGCAATAGGAATAAAGAAGGCATTTAGTAACTCTGGATCATGCACCAGTGGTTACAGTTAATTAAGTCAGTAGGACTGAGCAATAAAAAAGCTCACTCTGTTAGTTTAATTCTGCTTCTCGTATTACGGTTTTGCCTAGGGTACAGGACAATGGAATACGCCAACTTTCTAACGTTTTGGGTAAGCTACAAACACTTTAGTTAAATATTCAGAATATTTGACCTTTGCGTGATTAGCACTCCAAAATCATTAAAAAGGAAAACATTTGTTTTCGCATAAAAATAAATGCATAATTATGATGAGCCCTCCGGCAATATAACCCTCGACTGCGCTGAGACGACGACATTTGCAGTTTTAAATTTTTGGTTACACGTACCGATGATCGATTCGTATTTTGTCGGTCGACGGACCTGGTCGCGTAGTATGTCGTGAGGCGAAATGACTTCGCCGTGGGAAAAAAATGAATGTTGCAGCTGAAAAAGCCTGATCTCAGTATCCTACAGCAATACTATATATTCTTTGTTCATTAGTCATAGCAAATTTGAATAACAAAAACAATGTTTGTTAACAGTTAGTCTCCTAACGTGCTACAGTTGCTACGAAGGGCCTCTGCTCGCAGGGTATTCAGTTGCTATCTCAAGAGCAACTCCGCCATCCCGTTTAACCGATCGGTGAGACTTTTCCCTTAACTCATGAAAGAAATGCAACACATTGCAGCAGCAGGTTACCAACAAGCCTCGTCGTCCAAGCAAAAAGTGGACGGTGAAGACTTCATCAAAACCGATGTCTGCCCCAAAGCTGGAGACACCATCTTGGATTTAGGCTGCGGTACAGGAGAACTGTCTGCATACCTAGCTGAGTTGGTAGGACCCGAAGGAAAGGTTATTGGTGTCGATCCTGACAAGGAACGGATTCAACTGGCCAAGGAGTCGCACAATCAAATCGAGAATCTCTCATTCGTAGAAGGAAATGCTATAAACTTCTCAGGAATTGGAGCTGAAGTCTACGACATCATTTTCAGTAGTTATGCTCTTCAATGGATGACTAACAAACAACGAGTCTTCAACAACATGTTTTCAAGTCTGAAAGTTGGAGGTAAAATAGCTATTAGCTACCAGGACCGTTTGCCTCCGTTTGAGTTCAACGCTTACACGCTGCTAAATCCAGAGAACGCAGAACATATTTGCAACGAGATGTACCGTTGTGAGTCCAAAACCAATATCAAGCATTACTGTTTATCAGCGGGATTTCAAATTGTCAAACATGACCATTTTTTTATCCCCTTTGCTTTTGAATCCATTGAGAGTCTTTTGGAGTGGCACTCGTCAACTACACACGGTGTATTTGATCTTTCGCTTGTCACTGAAGAGCGTTTACAGAAGTATCTCGCTCCATACCTTGGCAAAAATGGGAAGCCTTGCCATGATTTCCGAGGAATAAAAGAGGAATCCCCTGTGTATAAACTGATAGCCGTTAAGCAAGCTACCAACGCTAAAGAGGAAAACAATGGATAACAAAAACACTTAACTAATGATTAGCTCTTAAGCATTATTCTTACTTCATATTACGCATAATCGCCTGTAACCCTTAAAATTTTTACATGGCGACAAACAAACTTGACACTACCGCAAGCATTGGTAGAACCAACGTAAGCACTATACTTAAAGTATATCTACCGGTTAAGTGGCAACAAGCAAATTGTTTTTGCTTTGTGCAGCAATCCAATGATGTTTTCTAAAAATTCGTCATCTTAGTTCTGTAGTTTCCTTCTGTTGCTAGGATTCTTGGGGAAAATTTGTTTCAAAATGCGAGCATCCGTTTTCAAACCGGGGGGAGGGGGGAGACTTTTGCGGCACCCTCTCTCTGAGAAGTTCAAGGAATAACTTAAAGGGACCGTTCAAGTTATGACTGTCAAACTTAGAGACTTTTCCTAAAATCCATCTTGGAAGATTTAAAGTCGACGTGACGTGTACTTTAACATTGATGTTACCACAGCAACCGAGTTTTGTCAGCCACCTTTAGCAAATGTTGCATTTTTATTAGAACAACTTAAGATTTTATTTCAGCTTTTCCTTAGTTAATGAATTATTATAGTACAATGAGTATCACTTTTTTTTTTAAATCAAAGTTGGTATAACTGTCAATTAAATCCAGGCTTTTTAGTGACTACTTTGAGGAAAAAACAAGAATTTATGTGAGTAAATGACAGATGCTGGGTATAATTTTCAACAGTGTTCATTTCTCTCGGAATTTCATAACTTCCAGATTGTTTTACTTCCTCAGCATCCTTTAACACGCAGATTAAATTTTCCATTAAGATTATCTCGATTTATTCAAATTTTAAGTAAAATGAATTACGTGTAATAAATACAAAAGGACGGATCCAAGATGTCGAATTATGCCAGTTCCTTTTCAGTCATAGATGACATCATCATGACATGACTGTTGGATTATCTTTTTGTGTTAACCAACTTTTTGACTTTATCAGACACCTTATTTTTTAAGAATTTTTTGAATTTCTTGAGGAAAATTTGGATTCTGCCAATAAAAACAACAACATTACGTCATAATGATGCAAGCTACGCAGTCGTGTCAATCAAATTATGCCTAGATGTTGAAAATGATGAGTAAATTGGGCTGCCTTTGGCAGAGCCAATCAAGTTTTCGGTGGAAAGTCGTCTCCGTCCTAAGAGAACAAATTGGCGGACGCATAATCCAACCCAGAACTTTGCATGTCCCATCCACCCCCCCCCCGTCGCCCCAGCCCCCGATAAGGATGATTATTTGACTTTGGAGTTGAGGGGAAGGGGCTAATCGTTTCAGAAACAAACAAGAAAAATGAGTACCATCAATTTTACCACATATAAATAAAATAATATGAAAAAGCAAGTTACCCTTTTGGAAACGAGAAAAGGTAGGCATTAATTTTAACTAGGACCACAATGCACCCCCTACCCCCCCCCCCAATCCCCCCCCCCCCCAAAAAAAAACCGCCAAAAAATTTATCAACACCCAAATAAAAGAAAAAAAATTTTGACCAATCGCTTTTTTTGTGAAAAGGGAAATTTTTTTTGTTTTTTTTTCTTTTTTTTTTTTACCGTTTTTTCTTTTTCACGCATTCGTTTAAGAAAAAAAAAAAAAAAAAGAGTACCATTCATTTTACCAACTATAAAAAAAAAAATATGAAAAAGCCAGTTTCCCTTTTGGAAACGAGAAAAGGGAGGCATTAATTTTAACTAGGACCACAATGCACCCCCTCCCCCCCCCCCAATCCCTCTGCCCCCAAAATATAACGTGACTAAGACTTGATCTAACCTGAAATTAAGGAAAATAATTGTCGTCCTAGTGCTTATTATGTGACAGGGTCATCTTTTTATGTTTTTTCCTCATTTATTTATTTACCGGCTTTCCTGTACACAGGCCTGCCCGGAGGCAATGTGCACGAATCGGAACTCAGGTCCCATGCGAGGTGCCATCCATCCCTACCCAATCCCACAACTCCTAAAGGCTGGCCACAGCACTGGGGTCTTCGACCCCGACTCTTTTCGAATATTGATGTGGGTTCCTTTGCGTCCCACAAGAACAAATCATTGAAAGCGATGTGAGACGGGACCTACGGTTTTTCGTCCTTATCCGAGAAGACTAGAAAGTCTAACCATTTGCAGATGTCGTCACAAAGGCAGCACTTTCTTCTCAGTTATTTAAAGACCCTGAGTGTTGGTCTGGAAGGAGTTTGAACCCGCGACCTACCTCTCGGCAGACCAGAGCTCTCATAGCTGAGCTAGCCAGGCGGCAGTCTTAATGTTGGAAGAACGTTTACCTTTACCGATAACGTAAAATCTAGACGGGAGAACTAGTTATTCAGGGAAACGATTTTTTTTCGAAAAAAATATTTGCACACGCCACTACGACGCGAGCAGAATATGACAGCACTCAAGTCATTCCCCTGTTATCTGTGAAGAAAATTAAAAGTTGTCCTCTTTTGATTATGTTATAAACTGATAAACGGCTCAACGTGTACTACTGAGTTGTAGTTCCACTTCCAGCTAAGCCAATCCCACCTTCATTTTTACCTATCTACAACTACAATCATGGACAAAAGTCTTTGGGACAGCAGTTCAATATTCATATTTTTCTGTCATTTCTAGCTTCACTAATGAAACTGCATCCTTGTCGAAATTTTCTTGCAGTTCTCCCTCATGGGTGAGACATTTCTTACTATTAATGTGACTGTGTGATACAGTTAAGCCTTAATGTGTTGCTTGTGATGGACTGTGTCACTGCACGATGCGGTTGGCAAGTCCAACCCACAAAAATGACCCTTGCTCGCCAACGAGTCCTCAGTAGCTCAGAGGTAAGAGCACCCGATCTAGAACACGGAGGGTCGTGGGTTCGAATCCCATCTGGGGCTCAGATTTTTTCTGTCCTCTTATGGTTGATTCTTTACATCTCCCTTTATTTCTTTTATGATAATAATAATATATAGATTTAGCCAGGGCTAAAAGCGAGGCTCCCATTAATAAATTTATAATTTAAATCAAAAAATAAACTTGTATTCCACAATTCAGTTAACTTTAGAGCACATTCGTGTGACTTTTCAGGGAAAGGCTAAGTGATTTTAGACAAAAATAATTTGCAAACAGCCCAAGAGTGAACCAAATCTTACATCGAGTTGATAGCCTCATAAGTACACCCAAAAACTGGCAATCATCTTCGATCACGTTTATATTAAGAGCCCTAATGGCTCTTGATCACCGTAGATTAATTAGGCCTGGAAAAAAAATTCCGGCCGATTTTTTTGCGCTCGACAAGTTTACTTTACAAAATCTTGCCAACAAATCTGGGTGCGTGTAAACCAAGCTTTTATATCACTTACACATCACATCTGAGGTGAAACAGTACTATGAGGCACTGTTTTTATCATAAAGACCTCGGACAACAGAATGCAGTATTTCACAATATTGCGATACAAATTGCTATCGTTCAATATTCAGGAGGATCGAAGCACGCGTGGGCTTTAGCCGTAAACAGTTAAAAAAATTTTCAAAATCATCTATACGGGCAGCCGGTTCTGACTTTTGCAGTGCTAGCAGTGGCGAGTGTTTGAATGAACATTGACACAGTTACGCTCCAACGTAATAAAGAATTTATGTTTATTTTTTATTTTAAAACGGTTTAACGCGCGGCATTTTGAGTACTCCGGGAAGCGTTGTTCACTGAACGACTGAAAACAGCCGGAACAGCGATTAAAATTACAAGAGACACTACTAACAATCAATAAAAGAAATATAGTTCGGTGAAACATATACAGAGACGACAATTTTCATTCAGGAAGACAAGTATTAAAGTGTCTCTAAAAATCCTGAGTCTTCGAGCTTTAAAGCTGAAGTTTATGTTTTAAGCTGGCTTCCCGGTGTTTGCTTTTTTCAAAGACGAACTCGAGGCAACGAAATCGCTCAAACCTTTCTTTTACAGCCAGAATTATAACTAAATATTCCTTGAAACGTTTTCTTTCTATTTGCGGTGAGAAAATGTCTAAAGGCTTTTTAAAGATCTGTAAGCTTATAACCAACCTGATACTCGGTCAGATCATTGTCTCAAATCTTACAAAAGTGCGTAAACAAAATTGCCGCATAAACTACGCTCGACTTCATTAAATTAGGAATAATAAAAAAAAAATACAATAATTACTTAGGCTTACCACGCGAGATGCAGCTCCTGAAAGGTGTCAAGTAAGGCCAGTATCGCTTCAGACTTTGCAACCCTCTTACACATTAAGCAAGGTGAAAGCGAAAACGATGCCATGCGAAATCGGATTTCCGACTTTGACTCAACCAAAAACCAAATAAATAACAGCTGAAATAAATAGCAGCTGAATTTCATTTTGTACATCCAGTGGAAAAAGACAGTTAAAAACATCATAAGTTGACACAAAACTCTGTCAGCTTCAGCTGTCAAAGTAAACAAGATTCAAGATGCTGCATAAATTTTCCGCATGAACTCACCTGTCAAATTTTGAGCAATCAGAACATAAAAATTGGACGTAGAGGGTGACCAACGCGTGAACATGGCGAGAAAAGTCAAAAGCAACTATCTTCCCTGCCTGTAGCAGCTGGCTGAATTTTCGCGTCCGAGGTCAGTTTGAAATCAAAATTTTAATTGTGCGGCACATAAACACGACATATTTCATATGCTTTTAAGAAAAAATTAAACTTGAGCCTGCGATCATTTGAAAACCAGTACCTTGTCAGCGGATACCTTAAAAAATTGACCTCGACACGACCTTTTCGTGTGCTCCGATCCCAAACTAGCTAGAAAGTATGAGACTGAACATTGATCGCGATCTAGTAAAATAATTAACTGGTCAGCGGACAGCTTCCAAATAAGACACCCCTCCCTTCCTTTTGATAGTCTCCCCTACCCCACCCGTACAATCCGTAGACGCGTACGTACGTACGCTCGCTGAATCACCTGACAACCAAACGAAAAGAGGTTGACCATAATCTATAAGTAT